AAGTAAGTGGTGATCTTATGTTACCGCTCATGCGCAGTTGGTTCGATATTAAGTTAAAAGAGAAAAAGAAGACAAATGTTATGTGCGTAGATTCAGATCTATCTATATATTTATTAGCCACAGCAACGCGTGGCCGGAGCACCCCTAGTATTTTCTATAAGAATGCATTTCATAAAAGAAAAAAAGAAAATCACAAAAAACAAAAACAAAAATATAAACAAATACAAGAAAACAAGGATATGTGTATCAATGTACTGAATGATTATGTAAATAGTTGAAAATCGTGAAGAAAATACAAAACTTAGTTCGACATGATTGGTTCGAATACACGAAAAGATAAGTGAACATCTTCGAAGTGAATTCGACCCGTGGGATTGGGAAAGAGCAGCACAAACCAGGAAGAATGGAAAAGAAAGGAGAGAGAAAGAGAGAAAATAGAAGAAGAATAAGAGAAGAAAGAAAGAGAAATTTGATTTCGAATCGTTTTCAAGGCGTAAGAAAACGCGATGCGACCGATAGATAGGAGGACTGACTTTCGTTTTTCGTTTTCCCAACGAGGAAAAAGGTAACGTTACAAATTCGACGGATTTCGCTTAGGGACTTTCAGACGTTTTCCTTCCCGCAATTTCCCCTACTATTTTTCGTCCTACATAAACCTTACGAAAAAGAAAAAAGAATAAAAGAGACAGATAGACAGACAGGGAGAGAGAGAGAGAGAGAGAGAGAGAGAGAGAGAGAGAGAGACATGCGCAAGCGCAAAGACGAACATGAACACGAACAGAACCGGTGAGTCTCAGAAGGGAAGAGGAGGGGGGAGGGAAGCTCTAATTTTCTCCGTCAGCCGTCGGCCAACCACGAAAGAATGTCAGGGGTGGATGAGGGGTGAATCTTTTTTACCCCTTCCTTCTTTTCTTCTACCCCCTTGGTTCCTCCCCCTCCCAACTGCAGCCCTCAGTTACCAGCATTTCGTACTTTTTTTCTCAATTCCCTCTTGAGTCCTATAACGTGAGACGCGTGGTACGCCCTCGTTTTCCAGCATTCGGTCAAAAGAAGTATAATGAAACTGCAACGAAGAAGAACGTTTTTCTTTCTTTCTTTTTTTTTTCTTTTTTTTTTTTTTCTTTTTTTCAATTTCTTCTTTTTTTTCTTGATTATTTTTATTTTTATCACAAAAAAGATCTGCCCCCGATGTCTTACTACTCCCTTTACTTTTTAGTACAAAAAAGGTCTCGATGTGTCTTTTTTTTTTATTATTAGAATAATGATCCTCTCAATGTTTTTTTTTTTTTTTACTTTTTTTTTTACTTTTTTTTTTACTATTATTTTTTCTAATTACCAAAAAAGATTCAAATGTTGGTACTTCTTTGTATTTCTATTTATTATATTTTTATTATTATTGTTATTATTATTAAAATTATATATTATGTATTATTACTATTATTATTAATTTTTTTTTATTACAAAAGTGATCCTCTCAATGCTGTTTTTTTTTTTTTACTTTTTTCTTATTACAAAAAAGATTCAAATTTTCGTTTCTCTTTTTATTTCTATTTATTAAGGTTAATTATTATTATTATTATTTTTTTATCGTAAATAAAATTTGTTCAATGATACTAAATTATGAAGAATCATTACAAAGTTTTCTTAAATGTCAGCGGTTTCCCGTTCGATAGTCTTTAGAAAGTAAATTTCGATGTAATTTCTATTAAAATGCGAACTTCCCAACATCGAAGAAGATAAAGAAGAAACAGGAAGAGCAGAAGATGGAAGGAGGAGGAGGAGGAGGTGAAAGAGGTAGGGAAAGAGAAAGAAAAAAAAAAGGATTTCGGTTTCGCGAAAACGAGCAAACACTGGAGGGAATTACGCTCGCCGTTTGGTCGTATCGGATAATGAGATCCTATGGCATTATCCTACAGGATTATGGATAATGCATTGCCACCGGCAACACGCTTACATTCTACTCAGAAAACAGTAAAACTTACGTAAGAGTGTTTTTGAGCGGATGTCATTCTACTTTCTCTTCTTCGAAGACTTTTCCCTTTATAAAAATTCTAACGTCATAAAGCAGAATTTTTATAGGTTCATTATACAAAAAAAAAAAAGAAAAAAGAGTAACTCATTTTAAATAATATGGTTCAACATTTCTCATTCTATTAACTTCGTAAACAATATTGTTCAAACTGAGATTGCTACCTTTCGAGAGGGGAGTAATTTAATTTATTTTACGGTTTTAAAATAAATGCATGATTATTAAGATATTAAAATTATACAATTGTTTTCCTTTTTTTTTTATGGGAATCTATATTTTAAGCTTAATTTTACTCATATAAATTTAACGAGTAATTACAATGTAACTTTGTATTAATATTTAATAAACTCATCGTAGCTGCAAGCTAAATAATATTTATAATACAATATTGTATATATTTAAATAAAATGTTTAATTAAGGAAATTAAAATTAGGAATCATTGCAATTTTAAAGATTTAATAAATAAGTATTCTAAAAAATATTGATTAATGAATTACATATTATATTACATGTTACATTACATTGTGTATGTATAAACAAAATATTTAATTATGGAAACTAGAAATAGGAATGATTGCAATTTTTAAAATATGAAAACAATAAATACTTAAGTATTCTAAAAAAATTAATTGATAAATTTATTATTAATCACATGTTACATAAAATTAATTTTTTAGTTAATCTTCGTAATAGCATCTTATATAATTATAACTAAAATTAAATTTACTCCTCAAAATATATGAATTTTATATTTAAAACATTTATTACAAAATATCAATACGATTGGCAGATATTTGATCAGATCATTTAAAAAGAAACACTTTGCATAATTAAAAGCTTCATCATTTAGGTAAACCATATTAAAACTTCAATAAAAAATTAATCTTAGGATTAATTTGATTACATCATTTTCACGATAAAAATACATTTTCTGTTACATTTCGCAAAATTTTTCATAAAGTAAAACATAAGAAAATGGTTTTATTTCCTTTTTTACACAGGAAGTAGTATTTTCCGAGTAAAAATTTCAAATTTAAGTAAAACGTAAACTGGACGTTTCATATAGAACGATCAAGATTAATGTTCTTTCGCTTTCGAAATATTACACTCTCGCTTATCGAAAATCGATAATCGAATGGTAACGAAGAAGAAGAAGAAGGAGAAGAAGAAGAAGAAGATCTCAACGTTTCCATTCGAAGCAGATAGAACGAGACTCACGCGAGAGCATTCATCTGCGAACGAATCAATCTCCGTGGAATTTTCTCCATCCACTCTCTTTTTCCTACTTCTCAAACCCACTTCCACGTCCCCACGCCCTTCCATATTCGTTTGCCCTATTAACCGAATTTCGGGAAAAAAGGGGAGATGATTTTCATACTTCATTTCAGCCAATAGAGAACGAAATATATGAACTACATTTTGCTTCGAACCACTTGGGGGTGGTATATACTGTTGTAACTTCTACAAATATTTGAATACTCGAATATGATTAATTTTTTACCTTCATATTTCGGTTATTTATGATGTAACCATTCTAATTATTTCTTTTAGAATTAGGTTATTTATTAGTCTTGATAAACATACATAATTTATTCAAAGATTTTACATATGAGCCGTTCAAAAGGCAGAGTAAATAATTAGTTAGCTGTAATTTGACGAGTATACTTGTCATGTGAAAAAGGTTTGTTATTTATTAATTATTTAGATTGCAATTTTAATGAAAATTAAAATATATTTGTAGATTTTAGGATGATTAAAATATTTAGAGACTATGACGAAATAAAATAAAATTAAAAAAAATATATAATAAATAAATGTGAATAGGATGTAAAGAGATTTAGAACTTTATATAAATAAACTAAAAGTTTATTCAGCTAATATTGCATAATAAGAATTATAAAAAAAAAATTCTGTAAAATAACAGGGAAACGATAATATTTAAGAAAAGACAGAATAATGTTTCAGAATTGTATTTCGTTTTATTTAAACTTAAAAACTTCATGTTCATTTATTATAAATTAAAATCACAGATTAAAGATAATTTTTTTCGAAGTTTTGAAAAAATGGTGGTTCATAATATTTTTCCATTTTAATAAAATAACCTAAGCACAACATACGCTATAATAAGTGCTTATATCATAAGCACTTATTTCACATTAAAAATTTATAGAATGAATTAAATATGAAAATTCAGAAAAATTTAATTATTATAGAAGATTGAATTTAAAAAAAATAATCGGAAATAAATAAAAATTATAAATATAAAACCATTTTGTTTTACAGTAAAATGGTTATGCCATAAAATTTTAAAATTATTATTTAAATATTAAATTACATTAAATATCTGATAAATGAACATAATTCGAATATTTTTGTGACCAGAAAATACGACATTATTTAATATATTATACGATACGATATTATTTAATTTAATATATACGACAATCAATAATTTTAAATATACAATAGAGAAATAAATTTTTTAAATAAATTTTGTATATGAGATTATCAAAATTAATAAAAGATCTGTCGCTAAAAACAATAACCGAGTGATTTCTTAGTAAACAATCGAAAAATGAAATCATAAGTTTGATTATATTGTAGTGTCCGAATTTTGTTAGGACACACTGTAAACACTGTACTCTGTTATTTTAGCAAAAAGGAAAGTTTTTTCTTTTTTTAATCTTCTTAACTTATATTAGCTGCCTTTTATTAAATGTCTAATAAATTATGACAACATCTCGTTATATTTTCTTATATATAGTTTCTTTTCCTTTCTATATATATTAATTACACGCGAACCTCTCTCTCTCTCTCTCTCTCTTAACAAGTAAGAAGAACTTTCATCGAAAGATAAAACCAATCATACTTTCCAAAGCTACGATGATAACTTATATAATCATGTAACTTAAATCAAGCAAGGGAAGAAACTTCTTCTGATGTAGATCATAGAAAGTAAGTACTACTCACCGGACTGTTATTAAGAGTGAATGACAGACGTGCCGTTGGTCTTGATGGTGGTAAAGTACAATTTGCTCGTAGAGTATCACCGGGATCGTAACGTTCACGATCGGATACGATAAAAGGTTTGCCTTCGGGTAAAGCTGAAATGATAATAAAAATTATCAATCACATTATCATGCTCAAAAATTATTTTTATATTTTAACCTATAAATTCAATATATCTTTATTTCCCTCTTTCTCTTTGTTTATCTTTTTCTCTTTTACTTAACACATACTTTTAAAATTATATTATTATACTAGGATGTTCTAGCTAAGCATTGCTCAGTGGCTTTGTTATAAAACGTTGATTTAATAGAATAAAAAAATATTTAATGCAGTCGAATTAATATTAAATAATAATTTATGGGACTTAAAATTAGGCATAAAATAATATAAAATTTATAATATATATAAATAACAATACCCAAAATAATACCACAATTAGAATGGAATACATAAAATAATAATAAAGGAAAAAATAGAAAAAATGTAAGGTTATGTCGTATGTAAATTAAAATAATTGAATTGAAATACAACGCCATTTATTGAAAACATATAGTACTTTGAGACCTAGATAACCTCTAAATAATAAATTCTTAAATTAGTAATATAAAATAAAAATGTTCGCGATAAAAACTATTCTATGTCCTAAAGTGAAAAAAATTACACAAATAAACAAAATTTTATTAAGATTGATTCAGTAGTTTCGAAGTTCACTAGAAACCAACAATATGACATTAAATTTTTATGTACAAAGATTACAACAAGTAGAAAAAATATAAAATAAATCTTATATACATTTACTATTAATAATACATTTAATCCCATTTTAGAATTAAGTATTATTACTATTTCTATTAACTTTACTCATCCTAACGTTTAATTAATATTCGAAACACAATATCGGAAGATATGCAAACTAACGGATTTGATTTTAAGCTTCCATAGTAATCATGCTTAGTATGTATTATCCTGTTCAATATCTGTCTCTTTTAGTCTCCTTTCTTTCTCATGCACACACATGCTCTTAAATTTGGCACTTATTGTCGCTTAGAATATCCCGCCGAGTGCAGAGAGTCTTCTCGGTTAGGGTAGCAAACATTATAATCCTCGTGCCACTTTCCACCTTGCTCGGAACTTATCCAATATTCGGGTGGCACTAAGAAACCCGTTGGGTTAGCTGTTTCGCACGGGTACCTACCTACCTACTACTACTACCTACCGTGCTAACTTATGCGTACGTAGCACCATCGGCACTCTTAGAAGATGATGGAAAAAGCAAGTCCCCTTTACCCACTCCCCACCACTAACATCACTTCTACCTCTTCTCGTTTGCGGCGGCACGTGAACAACCTACATGCATTTATATCTATTCTAGTTGTGTATATATATACAGGTATGTTTAGGTGTGTATCTGTGTATGTGTACTTGAATGTAATAGGCAAACAATGTTGAGTGGATCCTCTTCTCTTTATGATACAACGTTCTAACGAGAATTATATGAATATTATATCGAGAAATAACGAACCACAGTGAAATAATCAATGTTTTATACTATTTCTTACTCATTCTTTTATAATAATTTAAATATTTATATTTTACGAGAAATTTCTATTATAACATGCTCTATGTTGAATGTCAGAATGAAAACAGATTTTTAAAGAAAGAGAATTCTAAAGATAGACCAAGAGTTAAAATCTTTTATCTTCGTTTTTTAACGATTTCATTATTTAGTTTTTCTAAATTCCTTTTAATAAAAATATATTACAAAGTAATTATAGTCAATGTCGAAGCCACATTGAAATAAAGTAGTTTCAATCAGATCACCAAAGTCATGCAATGCAATCTCTTTGAAAATATCGTCTATACTTGATAAACTTTTTATAGAAAATTAACTCGAACCTATACAAGGTACAGTAATAAAGATAATAATAAAAATTCATTACTTTATAAACAATAAAAGTAAAGAACACGTTGAATAAATTATTTTTAGTTCTGTTGTATCTAATATTAAAGCTAGTAGTTCAATTATAGTTAATGAAACAATATTGTTATCTATATTATCATTAATCATCCTAACGATCATTTCGTATTACGTCTACTTGCTATTAGAAACGATATTAGAAGATATGCAAACTAAAGGATATGTGATTGCAAACTCCCATAGATTTAGCCTAAGGCTACGATAAAGAGCTGATTCGCTTTACGATAGTACGATTAATCGAATACCACAGTTACATTGACTAGGTTTCCATCGGAATCGAGTTGAGTCGAGCTTAGGATCGATCGTATCTACGATATGGTACTTCTCGCACGAAAGAGCACACGGACCAACCACCAAGCCCGAGATCCATTTCGAACGATGGAAATGGAATTTTTTTTCCTTCTCCCCCCTCCCCCTACTTTTCCTACTCTTTCTTTCTTTCTCTCTCTCTCTCTCTCTCTCACACACACTCTACCTGCTACTCACCCCATCCTCCTACGTTCATATGCTAGAAAGGACGATGCCCATACATTTTTCGATATCAAAGAATAGCGTGCGCGATTCGCCGAGCTAATGGAAACTCCCATCGTACATCTACTACTATTTTTTCACATGAACATTCACAATAATACGAAAGTGAGTGAATCGTTTTTAAAGTCGGTTCAACAAATGACATGGCACTTTTCTCACTTTTTCTTTCTTTCTTTCATTCATTTATTCATTCATTCTTTCTGTCCTTCTCTCTCTCTCTCTTTATCTTTTTTAAAAAAATTTCTATTTTAACAGATTTTTTATTTTTTCATTTTTTTTTTTTTTATTATTACAACATGAATGAATGTGTCTATATAAAAAGGTAAAAAGAATAGCAAAAAAAAAAAAGAAAAAATTTATTCGCGGTAAAGATAATCGTCAGTTCGATTCCACAACATTTCTCAAAAGTTTTTTCCTCCTCTCATCGAAAACGAATTGTTGAAAGCTTAAGAGCATTTTTTGTTGTTGGTAGATTCAAATAAAAGAGAGCATCGATGTTCTATTATTTTTTTTTTTTTTTTGGACATTTCAAGTATCTCCCCGTACAATCGAATGGAAAAACTTTTTCGATGGAAGAAAAAATTATCTAGCGTGAAAATGATACGTGCACTACTTCGTTATAAGGGTCATTATAAGTTAATATTTTTGTTAAGATGTCAAATTTGATGTATTTTCGATTTTATATAAATTATTTTTTATTTATTAATAATTATTAAATTATATATAAATATCAATTTAATTATTAATATATTTTAATTAAATATATTTAAATTATAATTATTATAACAATTATTAATTATATGTAAATATTAATTTAATTATTAATAATTTAATTATTTAATTAATTAATTAAATTATTAAATTATATTTTAATTTATTCTACCTATCTTTAAATATTTCAATTATTCGTCTTTATTAAAATCGTGGGGAATGTACAAACTAATATACGTTTTTAAGATTTAAACTTTTGCAAATTTTTGTTTTACCTAATTACTTAATTTAAAAAATGTAATAAAATATACTATAACCTTTTGTCTTCAAATAACGTAAATTAAACCTTGCCAAAAAAATCTATTGAAAATAAAAGTGAAATAACGTTTATATGACGAGATTAAAATGTAACAAATTACATCACTGTTGAGTAAATTGATTCTTAATTAAAACCTATTTTCAATATTTAAAATATATTATTTCAAATATGTTGGTTCTAATTTAACTCTATACATATATATGAATAAAACAATTTATATTTCAATATAATCGACAGTATGAATAATGACAAATTAATTTATTTATTAGTAACAATTATTGTTTCATATAAATAAACAGTATCTACCAACCTTCTATCAAGTTGTTCTTCGTTCTTTTATACAATATTTAGTTTTTTTTTTTTCATTAATTTCATCTTTTTTCTTTTTTTCTTTTTTTTTTTTTAAGAAATCGAACAGATTCTTTGTCTCTTTTTTCTTTCACTTTTTCTTTCCTTTTACTTCACGCCACTGTTAATCGGGATTCCAATTTGATTAAAAATTTGATTTCGCACCCATGCACACTCGTTCTTTCGTATCTCTCGGGTATCCTTTATCCATTGGGATCGCTGGAAAGTCGATATCACAGAGAAAAAGAGAGTAGATAGAAAAAGAGAGAGAGAGAGAAAAAGAGAGAGACCAAGAGAAGAAGGACAGTATTCGAAGAAAATTGACATGCAGCTACGATTTTTCCCGTAACTCTGAGAAAACTTCTTCGAGAAGAGATTCGTTTACCTTGAGGAACATCCGACGGGTATTATCGTAAAATATGAAATTCATATCTCCAGCGAGCGAAGAACGGTTCAGGGCCGTGCCACGAAAGATTCTTTTCGCTTCAATTCAAAAACGCTAAAAAAGAAAGCGATTCAAATGGATACTGCGATTCCTGCCAATTCCTTCAAAATTTCTGACTTTATTTTACTGCAGAAACATTGAAAAAATTCAATGATTCATTTACATTTTACTGATTGCAATAAAATTATTTCGAAATTAATCAATGCATTTTTTATGTTTAATTGTTTGTATATTATGCAGGTTGAATACTTGAAATAGTAAAACATTCAAATGTTTTCATTTTGTATATAAAAATTAGGATGTTCCGGCCACGAGTTGCTGTGGTTTTGTTATAAAATGTTCATTTAATATAATTCTAAACTATTTATTAAATTATAATAATACACAAAATAATACAACAATTATTGGGTTGTCCGGAAAAATCGTGCCGATTTTGACAGAAAATTGAAGACGACGCTTTTAAGTTTTTTTTTTTTTTGTACATATTCATTAAATTATGTATAAGTGCTATTCTGTTCCAAAACCTTTCTCCATCTTTAAAGGTAATTTAAAAGATTTCGTCCTTCTAGAACTTTTCAGATTTTTCAGCAAAAACACTTGCCACCTACCAAAAATCGATATGAACTTTCCGGACAACCCAATACAATGGAATACATAAAATAATAGTATTCGAAAAAATATAAAAAGTAAGGTTAGTTATGTCATATGTAAATCTAAAAAAAATGTATGACGTGAATATATCGAAATAAGTGAATTGTAATAC